AGGGTAAGTGTATGTAGGAAAGTTTACTAGATGAAGTTATTACTTACTATATCCATTCCTAATCTCCAGTAATTGTGTCACATGTTTTTCCCCATTTGTGGAATGGAAGAGAACTGGAAAAGAAAGAAATATTTTGCAACCTTAGTCTCAGAGTATGAACTACTGACAAAAAGAAGCAAGTATTGTGAGTGGAAAATGGACACTAATTTAAAATTTCTACACCAAACCATTTAAGGAAGGGCTTATTATACTCCAGCTAGCACCACCAGCTACCTTACATTATTTTTTTTTTGTTTGAATAAAAAAGAATTCAAATAACCCAAGACTTGATCAAGGTCACCGTAATGAAACTGGTGGTAGAGCTGAGATTAGTTCAATCAGAAATTGAATACTTTAGGGTGAAATGATAGGATAATTGATTACATGATATTAGCCTGTTTCCAGAAATAACTGAGGATCAATCAAAAGTATGTGGGTTTTTGTAACATTTGCTTAAATAAAAGCTTGACTGCTGAATATATTTAAATGGACATTCTGCGTATTAAAGTTCTTTTTGTGCAAATAGTAACTAGTGACTCCCCATTAGAAAGTCTGAGAGAGCAGTAAATTGGCTATAGCCATGATTTTGGCCACTCGTTTCTAATTCTTTAATAACATAAAACCCATAAAATAATAATTTCAGTTGTACTTCTATACAAATACTGTCTCCTTTGTGTTGATAATTTTAGGTCAATTTGTTGACAGCATACATATCGAAAGGAAATGCATCCCCATTACTTCTATGTCACCACTTTAACACTGTCTTTCATGCACTGTTCAGCCTTCTGCTGCTTGTCTCTGTGCTTTCTTAAGTTTTTGTCAAGGTGGGCTATAGAGTGCTTACTGGTGTCTCGGTCAAGGAAGCACTGGAATTGCGTGTCAGACATCTCTTAACTCATAATCTGCCAGGGCTATTTTAGAATGGCTGCCAGGGTGTTCAGACAACCCATCTCTGTGCTTGAGATAAGGGAAGTGATGTGTATATTGTGCAGTTGGATGGTCATGTGGAAGGCTTTGTGTGTTCTGGTGAAATGCTGGCAGGTGGAAGAGTAGCAGAAAATAATCCCATGACTGCTTCTGCAGAGCAATGTCACTGATAGAACATTGCATCCTGGTTTGACTGTCTGTGATCAGCAGCAAGTCAGGAATACAAAAGCAGATGTGGAAAAAATTTCAGTCACTAGGTATAATTCTACTTTCTGAGGTATTTGTACAGTGGTAATTATGGGATTGCTGTGACAAGACTGCAATGAGATTTCCTCTTGGTCTGTTAACAGATAGAAACAGACCTCAAATTCTTGAAAAATTATTTATTCTTCCTAAAATAATAAGTCTAGCCAGGTCTCTGCTTAATTTTATCTTTAAGTAATATAAATTTTCCATATAGGCCATTTTCTTCTGCAGTGTGTAATAATTAAGATAATCTTCTGTGTAGGTTCTCTTTTTAACAGAAAGTATACTTCAAAATAAATTTACACTGTAATTAATATGAACATTAAAAGTTAGATATGCTGATGGAATGATTAGAAATAGTCTCATAAAAGTTTAAGGGTAGAGAAAGACTCAGTGCATTGACACAGCTATGACTCAAAACACATTTTTTATCTCTGATCCTGCATTTGCTGCTATAACAAACCCACTTGCCACGCAATCAATTGTTTTTTTTAAACTTTTAATTTTAGCACTGGCTGTTGGAGCACTGGTGTTGGAGCTCCTAGGTCAGGCATATAGTGAAAGACTATGGGAACTTGTATTTCTACTCATGGACTTCAAGAACTTTTAAAAAACTTTCTCTGTTAAGACTCAGCGGTAGGACCTAAATAGGAAAACACTTCTCATCACTTGTTCTGCTGATGACACTTTCACAATAATAGCTTTTACCCAGTTAGGATTCCATATGTTTACAGTTGTAATGTCACTACTGGGAGAGGATATAAGTGCATGCAGAATGATCAGAAGTATTATTGGTATTAAAGACAAATGAACACCTGGTATTGGAAAGAGGAAGATGACATTCTGATTAAGAGCAGAATTATCTTTCTGTCAAAATGGATTGATTACTTCAGGTTGTCAAATAATTTACAGTAAATAAATTAATGCATACATATGGATGCAGAGTTATTTGTGCATCAGCAGATTAAAATGTGTAATCCAATAAACTGTAAGGTAGCTAAGCATGAAATAAAACAGGCTATGATTTCTACCTCAACGAATGATTATTTCTCAAAGGCATATAAAGCAGCTGGTAGACAAGATCATTACCCTTCTGGCAATAAGGAAACAGAGATGGTATAGTTTAGGACACTTTCTAATGCTATAAGAAGTACAAATACTTATGAATTGTAGAGAGATAAGGATCTATACTCACTTCTCCTCAGATCAGCACAGCCATGTAAACTTGAGTGCATGTTCTGTAAGAGTGGTCTCAATACTCAAAGTTGTGTTGCTTTCCCTTATTCTCCAGTTTGGGATGTCACAGAGAGCCACAGCTTCCTGTACGTCAGAAGAACGGACAATGAGAAGTTGTTGGTCGCTCTGAGAAGAGAAGACTGGAGAAGGGAAATAGTCCTATTTTAACTTTATAACCCAAGAAGGAATCATGCTCTCTGTACAGGCAGTCCAGAGCTGGAGCAGAGAAAATCAATCACTAAAAATTTACTGTTGCTTAGCTAACAGTAGCTCTTCAAGGGGTTAGACCTATCCAAATCACCCAAAGAAAGGTGCATCTCTCACCTGTATGGGAGAAAAACACCAGCATATTGAACAGAGGGATGGTGCGTCTTTAGGTGAAGGGTGATTACCTTTCACAGTCCCAGCAAATTAATGAGGCTGGTTCTAGATCTAGAATGTTCATGGCAAAGAAACCCGAATGGAAAATATGTAAGTTTCCAATTTATACCTGTGAACATACATATCTAATTCAATCTAAAAAGGGATCAGGTCTGCTGTGTACATGGAGTTGCTGTTACAGTTTGCAGACTGTATATGACTTAAGGTCATGGAGACTTTTTTTTCTGGGGCAATAGTAGTTACAGAGAGGAGACTAGCTGGAAAAATACAGGGAGGAAAAGAAAAGCTCAAAATAAAGTTCTTTGGGAATCTCCTAAGTATTTTTAGAAAACATTTCTGAACGAAGACTTTTGGTGGCATAAAAGATAGAAAATTCCAAGACGGGAGATATCTCTGAGGTGTCATAAGAATTTACACCTCCTAAACTAACCATCACAGAACGGTCTCTGGAGACAGTGCTGCTTCTTTTTTCTCCAAATGGTTTGTTCTAACTGGTTACTATAATTTTTATTTTTATTTTTATTTTCCAAAAAGGAAAATCAATTCTGGATTCTTCTAGTGATAGAATCCCAACGGAGAAAAGGGCAACTACTTAATTTCAGTCATGAGTGTTGAGTGAATGACACCCTATGTAAGAGTGAGAGAAGTGCAAGACTGTATTCTCAAATAGGAAAAGCAGAGTCTAAAACCTTTTGAGATGTATTGAGGGAAAACAGGACAGTGTTTGGGTTGAGGCTAGGCTGTACTTGAGATAAAAATAGCAAGTAAAAGAAAACAACAGCTAAAGACCATGCCTTTATGACAAAAGGGTGTTTCTACTTAACTAGAGCAGCTAAGTGGAGAGTTTCCTTGGTGTTTTACAAAATATAAAAGTTCTACTTGTAATTTGAGCAACAAATGTAAGGAACACTGAATAATTAAGAGGATTAGAGATTTCTAGGCACTGCACTGAGAAACTTTTGATAAGAAAATATAGAGCTTGGTTTGGGAGCTTTAAGAATTAAACCTTGTTAGTTCTATGAAGCAGCTGTGTTAAAAGATCTGTTGAAGTAAGTGTATTTTACCTCAAGGATCCTGTGTTCTGTCTTCTGAATAGACTTGCGGAAACACCTTCTCAAAGGAATTTTTCAGAGTAAAATACAGTGTTTGTAGAAATCTTGTATTTCTGAAGCAGCATTCTGAACTGGTTCCTTGTTCTGTTGTCTGCTCTCCTCTTCTCCCAAGGACCATCTTAATCTTTCTCTGCACAAAACAAAGCTGACCCTATGGCCTTTGTAGTATCTCCCGCGGGACAGTAGACTGTAAATTTATCATTCATATAAGCAAGAACAAGCTTTTTTAGAGGGAAAACAATTGTTATTCAGTCTGGATGGTAATGTTTTACCCCTTTTTTTTTTTCTTTTCTTTTTCCCCAAAGCTTAATATGTTGTGAGAGACTGTACAACGTTTTTGGTGGACTTTCTGTTGCACCATGACAATGTTTGATATAGCATCTCTTTTGCTGTGAATTACTCGAACTTACCTTGTCAACCCATGTCAACTATGTTTTGGGCACAAATGCAGTATGGGCTATACCTTGTTTTAAGTGCTCCCCAGAGCTTTACAAATGAAAGGTATTTAACAATGCCTGCAAAATAGTTTTACAATGCATGGTATATCATTTTTATTTGTAAGGGTTACTGTTGTCTACAAGGAGCTTCACAAGCATCGTTTAATTTTTAAAGAAATCATTCTGTGTGATGGCGAAAAATCAAAAATGCTTTGGCTTTGAAGTCATTGTTTGAGGGTATCTCATCTTAAACTTCCTTCAAAGGATTTCTTTGTTCAGCCACTCCAAAATTCACTATTAGTTATGGGAGTTACTGAAGGTTAAACTTGGCATGAGCATTTGAAGGATTTAAAAGCATAGCATCCTGTAGATGAAACAGAGCAATAAAAAATTGCATGATTACTGAATCAATATTATACCATTTCCTGTATACTGAATTCCTTTATTTATGGTGAAAAATACCTGTCTGTTTACTTCTTATCTTCTGCAAATATCACGCCTATTTTTTTACCCCTCCTCTTTCCTTTGTATCTCCTCCCTTGTGATAGAATCAATTGCATCAGTGGATATTATATAAAGAGAAGTTTTCAGTGGAGTTCCCAGTTCACCCACCTTAGCCACCATGGGGCTAAGAGTTGCCAGCCTTTTGATGCTGTGGCTGGCTTTTTCCTCTGCAAATGAAATAAGAAAAGGTAAGCTCTAGAAATGAAATGATAGATTACCTCCTCTAAAAGGGTGAGAAAATCAAAATATCACTGCAGAGATAGAAGGAGGCAGTGCATTTAAATAACGCACTGGAGTTTTAAGGTGCCTTAAATTTCTTAACCTTTCAAATAGTGAGGCTACATGGCTCAGCCAACTGCTCTCTTTGGACAAATTAGTACCTATATCTACTGCATTAATCTCTAGTTTGATGTGCTTGGAAAATATTTTCAGTGTTACTTTTCTTTCCGTGTATTGAGACTTTCATAGGTATGGCAAATGCTTGGCAGAAAGTAACTATAGGAGTTTGGGAAGTTCATTGTTACAGTGAAGAAAGTGGATAACTGTGCCTTCCGTTACTTTGGAATGACGTAAATGCTTTCTTCAAAAGTGAATGTAGTAATACTGGACAAAGCTTATCTTGTCATTCAGGACATCAGTAATCCTTCTGTAAAAGCTTTAATTTTCTCTATTTGTTATCAACTTTGTTTCAAAATGGGGTTCTTGTACTGAAAAATATTTTTGGAGGAAGAGGAATTTTGTGCAGTGATCGGGTTTGGGGCATTGGTATGCTGTGTCTTTAATTCAGCAATGGAAGGAAAGCGTTATCTTGCATTTGATATCCCAGCTGTGATCTTTGGGAGAATTTCTGTGTAGCCCTCCTTCTGGGAAAAGAAGCATGCCAGCTTGGTCTGGTATGATTGATACCATCGAAGTACTTAGAGGTCCCCTTGGTAGTTTCACTTTCTCAAATGAAACACTGCAGGAAAATCTTGTGAAGATGAGTGGCATGTGTGCTTTTTGTATCTTGGCAAGCTTCCCAAGTACGCTCAGCTCCTATGTTTACCCCTAACCTACAGCATTGTGAGATTTATCAGATACTGTCTTAATTTGTATTATTGGTTGGTATAGATGGCTGGGAAGGGAACAAATACCGTCAGCTTCATCCTTTGCTATTGCAAAAAAAAAAAAATTATTTTTTTTTCCTCCCACTATGGTTATTTTCTGACCTATCTTCTGAAGAATTTCTATTCTGTAGTCATAAAAATCACTACTTCTGTTAGGAAAAGAAGGAATTCTTTAAAAACTTGTGTTGTGCACAAGTCCTCTCATAATATTTAACCAGTATTTCTTGAGTAGGAGTGGTACTTTCTTGGTTTTCTAACTCAGTTTCCTTTCTAGTGCTTGTTTCATTGGGGAAGAAAATAACTCTTAGAAATATTTAATATTGCTAAAAATAATACTGTGATTCAGAATAAACTCTTATGTTTGGCAAAGCAGCTCTATTGCACTGATGCATCAGCTTGTTAGTGGTCAGAGGGTTACGTTTCCCCACTTCATGCAGCCAAGTTCCTTCACCTCAGTAAGGATTATAAGACATACCCAGGTCTCAGCAGTATTTGTTAATATCTTATTTCCTATCAGAGATTCACATATCTTCTGCTTAACAGACAGATACTTGATGAGGCTTGAGATCTGTGGAATCACTATACACATAATTGCAAGTGGTTTGTACTGTGTAGTGCAACACTTACCTTTTCTAGACTCTAGCTTTTTTCACTTTTTTCATTCTTATTTGTTTTTCAACAGGAAGGACAAGAAACCATGGCAACTATGTCTGCAGCACTTGGGGAAACAACCATTTCAAAACTTTCGATGGAGACATCTATCAATTCCCTGGCATTTGCGAGTATAACTTTGCTTCTGACTGCCAAGAGTCTTACAAGGAGTTCTCTGTCCACATTCAGCGTACTATGAACAGCAATAACCACCCTGAGATCCAGTATATTCTGCTAACAATCAAGGACTTGACCGTTTACCTCAGACCAAAACTGGTTGTGGTGGATGGGCGGATGTAAGTTCCTTTAGTATAATGGTATTTCACGCAAATGTGCTGGGAAGATAAAAGCAGGATTGATTCTTTAGACAGCAGTCTGTATACCGTTGAGGTAACTGTTACAAGCATTTCCACGAGCCAAAAAAAAAAAGCCCTTTGAAATCCAGCATAAAAATTGCTTTGGGGAGGGGCTTTATATTAATCAGCATTTCTACACTGGCAGAAGTGATGATTTAAATGCAAGTCAGGAAGATGTTTGAGTGAATTGTTCTTTTTTCTGGTTGTGCAGGAAACAATGCAGCTCATGAGCCAGATCTTTCACTGGCATAAAATGACATAGCTTCATTTGTTTTATGGCAGCACACGGAGTTTACCTTAGCAGATAGTCTAGCCAGTCCTTAAAAATGAAGATGCATTTCTCCGGTGTCTTTTTTTCTTATTTTGTGGCAGAAGAGAGGTGCTTTTTTCTGATCTTCATAAATAATTCTTTAAGGTCTGATGGCCATTCCTCAAGGGGTTATAACAGATATAACACAGGTCAAAATTTATACTAATTTGCATGTGACAATATGTACTTTTTCAGAGTGAGCTGCAGTATTTTTCTTCTCCTGTAACATGGTCACACCAGGAACTAGTCTGACACTGTAACTGGAGCCAAGTAGTGCCTACCCTTTCCTATCATTATCCTATCTTTTCAGTGTGTGTATATATAAACATTGAAACAAGTGAAGCGCCTCATCAGTTAAGACATAGTTCTGAAAAGAGAAGAAACTGGCTTTTAGTATGTCTTAGCATAAGTTTAAAAAAGATCTTTTCTATTGTCATTGAAGGACTGGGTTTTATCCAGAGCTCATCTTTTACTCTGAAGTTTGGAAGCCGCTGCAATGAAAATCTGTTCAAAGATAGAAAATAACATTCAATTTTCCAAGGATCATACCAGAATGCATAACAAAATGACATGAAGTTATAAAAAAATGCATTCTTACCCCAAATTGAAAAAGCACTGTATTGCATAATCAGGTCTTAAAAAGAACTCAATGAAAAACAAGTTTAGAAATCCTTTAAAAAACATTTTTCATAACCCAAACCTCTCTTTATCTTAGGTAGTGTTCATAAAGCAATAGATCCCTTCTGAACAGATGGCTTGTAGAACAGGTTTTTGCTGCACGGCGGATTTAGTTTTTTGTAGAACTCAATTTCCCATATTGCTCTTTAAATGGAATACTATGCATTGCCATGTAAAATAGCATTTCACACTAGCGAAGTGAAAACCGTATAGTAGAAAAGTGTACGAATTTGGCTTTTGGTACCTGATCCACCAATTGATTAAATGCCCTAGTATTAACAAAAAAGAGAAATATTCCATGCTGTGGTAGCTGAAAGATGAAAAGCTGCCCAATGTTTTATAATCCTTCTCCAAAAACATGATCTCTTAAAGCATCATTGTCCAAAGAATGAACAATGCAATCAAAAGTGGAAATAATGGCTTTTGAGTTCCCGCCTAGTATATAGACGTGTAAGTCATTTGGCCATGTAGAAAATGCCAGAGGTAAACAGCTGGGAAAATCCCAGTGGCGGTAAATTAGGAGATAAAATTCTCCCAGTCAAGAGACTACTTAAGAGGAGATGTGCATAGACGTATGTGAATCCTGATAGGTAACAGTTATATTGGCAAATCTTTAGAAAATGAACTGGTTATTTTGACTGGATACCAGTTTACACTACTTCTGTTTGAACAGACTCTAGTTCTTTAGATTTTGTAGGATGAGGGTGCGTGCCACAATCCCTTTTTTATTGCTGAATGAAATTCAGCAGTGTCACTTGTTACATAGTGCACTATAAGGCAGATGTACAAGAACAGGAGAAAGATCTGGTGAACTGATTCTTGATCAGACAAAAACATCTATGCTCAACCTTCTGCAAAATATCTTATGACACGTTAACATGCCAAGCTGTCACCATTAACAAGCTTGGTCCTGTCAACTGAAAACTAATGAACTAACTACTGAAACAAACTACTGAATTCCTCTCAACATGCTGCTTTATTTTCAAAATTTGTTGGAAGTCCCTGTATCCGCTTGTGCTTTTTGAACTGTGTTTTCAGGAGGAAGATTCATTCCAAGCAAAGGAACATTCATTCTCTCTGAAATGATTGTCAGATCTTTTGGTAAAGAAAAGCTTCCATTTAGGTTGTTACCACTTTCATTGAAGTAAATTATTAGTGAGTGTTCCCATATATATATTTCCATATGTATTTCTGTTAATACCACAACGATGATGGATTTTCCTTTGATTAAGCTGAAGACATCTGATATTTTCACTTTTTTCTTAAAGAACCCATACCTTCAAGGAGGCTTTGCCTCTGAAATTGCTTTGCCTTTTAAAGGCAAACAGTTATCATGTCAAGTGTCAGAGAGAGAGGATTTTGTGACTCATTAAAACGAGGCATCCTGTGCAGCTAGGATCAGGTAGATAGACACAAGTTTCTCTATTCATTAGGGTATTTGACTTATTACAGACCTTCATGTCACCCCTTATGTTTCTGTACTAATGCAAAGTCTCTGATTTTCTCCCTAGCGTGAAGACACCTTACTACAGCTCCGGTATGCTCATTGAGAGCAATGACATTTACACCAAGGTTTATGCCAAATTAGGTCTGATTCTGATATGGAATCAGGAAGATGCACTGATGGTATGTATGATCCAAGTCTTTTTTATTGGTATTTCCTGGGTTTAACAGACTACTGTATACTGAACTGAATTAGAATCTCACAAACTCAGCAGAGCCAGAGTGTTAGGCTGACTCATCCAACTAACACTTATAGTACCTTATTTTAAAAATATGAAGTTATTTTCTCTGCAATGTGATAGAGGTAGCAGTATGGCATGTAGATGACCTTACTGGTCTCAGGAAAGGGAAAAGCAGCCTTCTGAGAAATAGATAATGTTTCTGCACCCCCACAATCCAATTTGCATTTTCCTTCATTTGTCTTTTAAAGGACTGCCATCATCAATTTTCCTAATTTTATCCCAGTAGGGAAAAAAAGGAAAAAAAAAAAAAGACCTGTGATTTTAAGAATGCTTTCCTTTTCATCTTTACCACCATGGTGGTTACTGCCATTATTGAAATATAGGACTTTCAGTCACTTCTTTCTGGTTACTTTTTGCATCTGTATGTTTATTAACTATGTTAAAAATTCATTTGCAATAGCTGCTTCTCTAAGAGTTTTGTATTCACCATTGCTTCTGTCATTTAGCAACTTCCTTTTTGAGTAAACACGTTTGCTTTGCAGTGTCCTAAAGCTCCAGATAATTTTCTGAGTTTTCTTTTTCTTCCCATTACCTAGGTGGAGCTGGACAGCAAATTTAATAACCATACATGTGGTCTCTGTGGGGATTACAATGGGGTTCCAATCTACAATGAGTTTATCAATGGAGGTGAGTCATCCTACCATACCGGCAGTTATCCCAGAAGATAAGCTGATAAGCATTGTGCATAGGAGCATCAAGGAGAACAAATTTCACCTCAGAGATTTTTGTGATTGCCCCAGAATAAGCATTATGTTCCAGTGCTGCACTCCTGGTCTAAATTTATTTTATTCCAGATGAATCATCTTGTCCTTTTCTCTAATGGCCTCCTTTTCTTGTTGCCACTTTAAATTTTTAAGAACACTTAGACATAATAGACATAATTCAAAGCAGAGACCTGTCTCTGACAGGTATATTTGATACCATAGTAACTGTTTTCTTTGATCAGTAGAATCCCAGAAATCAAATACTCCATGTCAATTTTTGGACCTTAGCAAGTCCTCTTTGTATTTTTTTCTCATAGTTACAAGCTACAATTCAATTACGTATGGGAATTTGCAGAAGATCAGCAAACCCAATGCCAAATGTGAAGATCCTGATGAAACTCAGGCTATTCCAAGCTGTAATGGGCATGTGAGTATTCCTAGAGGTGAACTTCACTTGCATGGGCACATGGAGACATCCTTGTGCTACAGGGAGTTAGTGTGTGAGGAGTTGGGAAGACTTTTTTCCTTACAGGGCAAATGGTTTCTTACTTTTTTGAATAACTGTTGCTGTTCATAAGACAACAGTTTTTATGACAAGACAGGAAATGTCTAGAAGCTCGGGCACTTACAAATCTCTTAAATATTATTACTCTTCCTCCTTAGCGTGATGAGTGTGAGAGGTTGCTGACGTCCTCTGCATTTGCTGATTGTCGGTTGCGTCTTAATTTGGAAATGTACATCCAAGCCTGCATGCAGGACAAGTGTGCATGTAATGGAAATGAGGACTCCTTCTGCCTCTGCAGCACCATCTCTGAGTATTCTCGCCAGTGTTCGCATGCGGGTGGCCGGCCGAGTGAATGGAGAACACAGCATTTTTGCCGTAAGCAGCTATATAAATTTTACAAATAAACAAATATTTCATGGATGTAGCACTGTGAAACATTTAAATTTATTCCTTCTTTACAAAACTATAGGCATATATTATAAATTTCATACCAGTAGTGCAACAAACTACATACTATGTTCTTCCTGTTTTCTTCTATTACCCTTGTTATTAAGAAATCTTTTTCAGATTTCAGAAATTTTTTTCTGTTCCCATTAAAAAACTGTGCAGTCTGATGCTGCAGATGACTGGTATAATTTGATCTATTCAAGACCAAAAGAGGAAAATAGGAAAAGCAGGGAAAGCAGTTCAGAAACAGACAAAAATGCTTTCACAGATGGAGTCTGGCTCAGGACGCCACTGACTGGGGAGCAGGGGTTATGATCTGTGGTTTCTGAGGAACAAAGGACTTTACACTCAAATAACTAATCATGTCTTTCTCATTCTTTCAGCCAAAACCTGTCCTGATACCATGATCTATAAAGAAAGCAGCTCACCCTGCATGGATACTTGCTCACACATGGATATCAGCAACCTTTGTGAGGAACACTACATGGATGGTTGTTTCTGCCCTGAAGGCAAGTGTTATTCTAGCCATTGTATATGGAACAAAACCAAGAGCTCTGACAAAGGAGGTCAGAGCTGAAATATTAAGTGTAGTTCAATTGTATCTTAAAAATTAGTACCACTACTCATTATTTCCCCCCCTAGGGGAACATAATTGTAAGGTTTTTAAAAAGGGAGGTCATGATTGATTAATTAATCAATGATTTTATAGTTAAATCGGATTAACACAATGACAGGTAATAAATCTGCTTTTTACTTCTCAACAAGTGGAATTCCGCTAATGTATAGAAAATCATGCTTTTTACATTGAATAATTCTGAGACAAGGTATTTCATTTGCCCAGAGAGTGATAATGGCAGACAGGAAGTGAAATTTTCAGACTTACTGTCAACCTTATGAAAAAAGATTACAATGGTAGTCTACAGAGTATGTCAGAAGGACTGAAAATCTAAGCATGTAAAATTCTGAGATTGTTCTTGTATACTTATATTAAGCTTTTTATCTGTGTAGTTACATAGATGGATAGACTTAGATTTTCAAAGCTGGATAAAAGTGTTTTCCATTTGTCTTATATTAAAGGAAGTAGAAACTGTTTTTTTCACAGTTTTGATAACCTCAGCCTCTGCTTTCTGTGTCAAGTTGAGAACATGTCTCCTCTGAGAGTTTCTCCGCTGTGGAAGTTCCTTATGTCAGAAAGTGCTGGAATAGTTTACTGTTGTTCTTTACAGGAACGGTGTATGATGATATTACTGGAAAAGGCTGCATACCTGCTAGCCAGTGCCACTGCAAACTCCATGGAAAGGAGTATTCACCTGGAAAAAGCATTACCAATGAATGTGAAGAATGGTAAGCATTATGGTTGTTTACACATCTATCTTTGAATGATTGTAAATGGGTCTGCATTTTTCAGTCTTCCACTTAGTCATAGGAGACTTCCTGAAAACATTCTGAATTTAACATTTATGTTGCATGTCTATACAACCAATTTTCTGAAAAGTTTTTTTGCAGCTATGGCATATGGCACAGAGGAAATCTTCAGGAAATTGTCAAAGATACAGTTTCAAAACACCTAGGGGTATCTTGCTGTTTGTTAGATATACAGATACTTTCAGTGCTCTCAGCTCCTGTAATATCTGCAAGCGTTTTTTTATTATTTGTCTGTTTATAGCACCTGTGATTCAGGCAGATGGACGTGCAAAGATTTACCCTGTCCAGGCACATGTTCAGTGGAAGGAGGTTCCCATATTACCACCTTTGATGGGAAGAAATACACCTTCCATGGAGACTGTTACTATGTGTTGACCAAGGTACTGTGTACTGTAAGGCTTTTCTCTTGTAGAGTAAATACAAGTGCCTGTGTGCTGATATGTAACAGCTGTGAACTGTTGTTTTTTTTCCATTGTTATGGGATGAGGTAATCAGAAATGCTAAAAAGCTGTACTGGAAAATTCAGGATGGGCTGTAATAGCTCTAGGGGGGGAGCTGGGCTCTTACTGGCATGGGTGGTTAACCTAGTCTGACAGTAGACTATATATGTTGTCATTATCCAGTGGAGTCCTTAATGTATAAGAAAGCAAAGGATCACTCTGGCTGCATGGATAGGCAGACTGCAAAAATTGGCACTTCACAGGATTAGAAGCTCTCAGACAGATCTGTAATAGCTTGTTCTGTGTCTGAGTGTCAAGTTCAGCTGGGGGAAGGAGCTAGGCAGCTATTTCATTCATCTGTTGCTAAAATATCTGGTGTCTGTTCTTCTAGAGAATGACAAATATCTTGTTGAACTAGAAACCATACCACTAAATTTGTTTGAAAGACAATTCAGCTTCCAGAGCCAGTGCTGAAATGGTGGTCTTAATAGCTAACTTCTATACTAATTGTTATTGTAACCGATGACTGTAGTCTTTGTTTTGAAAATCATCGTGTGAGATTTTTGATTGGACTAATGGACATTTATTTTGCTGTTATTGTAGGGTACTGCAAATGACAGTCATGCTCTCCTGGCGGAGTTGACTCCCTGTGGCTCCACAGACAGGCAGACCTGTTTGAAAACTGTTGTGCTGTTAACAGATCACAAAAAAAATGTAAGCATTCTGTGGGTTTTGCTAGATATGTTGAAAATTGACATGTTTCCCTTACTGAGGAGCAATAAATAATTCTTCTGGAGTGGCTCTTCTGGGCAGATGAGACACCTCAGACAGGCTGCAGAACAACTCGGGCTTCTGCCTCGAGGACTCAAAATAGACCGAAACTGAAGAAAAGATGAGATTTAAATAAACTGACATTTCCCCCTCTTCTCTTCTCTGTTCTATGCTATATAATTATTCTCACTGTATTCCAGGATGACTGGAAGGAAGGGTACCATTCTTCCTCCCCTCATAGCATTTCATTCAGATATAATTTTATAGATCTAACTGAGTCTTTTTCAGAAGAGATCCTGTCTTTGAACGTTGATACAATCCAACCTTCTTAAATGTTTATATTTTCATTCACTTTAGTATTCTGTTTGGTTACGGATATATCTTGACTATATTTATACATAATTTTGCATACATCTGTATTCATAATTTTCCTCCCATGTTTCTGGTCTTCCATGTCCTTGCCAGCACAAATAGAACAAAACCAAAACAAATCAGAAACCCATCATTTTATGTTTCTGTATGTACAGTCTAGCATTTTATGAGGAAGTTTAACAAACTGTTTTCTTACCATGCCAGAATCATCCTAAACCATTACACTGAACCTGTGGCACGTGTTTTTATAGGGAATAGGAACTTGCTATAGATCCTGAAGGCCCAATATTTTCTTTTACTTGCTGAAACCAAGGTGCCCAATATAAACAAGCTTTGCATTTCATTACTGCTATAATTTGCTGCAGAAGCGTAAGTGAAACACTGATCAGCAAGATGAAACCTTACTTGCATCCTACACATCTGCTGCCATATTCAGTTTTCAGACAGGTTCTTCCTTTCAAAGATTTTAAGTTCTAGTCACAGTCTAAATGTACAAAATGTCTCCCCTCTTAAACCTTTTTTTTATTAGTTCCTTTTCCTCTCAGTACCTGGAACCTCATTGATTCTATTTACTATTATACAGGTGGTGGTTTTCAGATCAGATGGCAGCGTTTTACTGAATGAGATGACAGTGAACGTGCCTCATGTGTCAGGTAAGGGCCATAGCCTTGTGTGTCATGTGTCACACACCTGACTTCTTGTGTGGGGTTGTATTTTTTCAGAAGCAAAAGTGGAAGAGAGGCAAATGAAATCTGTTCGGATTTTGGAACAGCTTGAGGATGAATGTGATTTAATAGTCATCACTGAGAATTTCATGGGCACACTGACTCTGTATACAGTGGATGACTGAAAAAATATGTCTGTTCACTTTTTTCATGTATCTTGAATATACTTTGGCATGTAGCTTGGGAAAGAGGAATTGTCATGGCATAAATTTGAAGGAGATAACTTAACCTGCCTATAAAGAGGGGTATTTAGCATTTTCCAAGTATGGCTACATAGTGTAGGTGTGTCCTGGCTCTTAGTCATGGTGAGGTTCAGTCATGTCTACACCACCCTGCTTCCTCCCCATGCTTTTTTTTTCCTGTGGGAAAAAAGCCTGGCAGAAGGTAACTGCTGTATTTTCTGGTCAACCAGGGCAGGAAAGAAGGATGTACTGTGTAGCATCTTCTCATCTTCCCAGCGTACTTCAGACATCAGCATTTTTTTGTATAATCAGTGGACAAATTTAGACAAATACTTTCAGAGGCTGACTCAGATCACCTAATTTTGGAGCCTAACTTATGGTAGAAGGTCACTATCAGACAGCAGCTTTGACTCTGAGAGTAACTCTTGAAAAGAATGTATAACTTCTCTTTATCACTCCTTTTTAGATATATTCAGGCAGCACACTGACACAGTATGTGTTGCTTCTTATTTACTGGCCTATCTGCAAATAGCATGTTACTTGCAAGAAAATAATTCTTTATCTGAAAGGACAAGTATTCATAGGATGGTATGTTCATGAATGCTTGCACAAAACCAATTACAGTGTGTAGCTGAAAGTTTAGAAAAATTAAAGTGCTCTAGGCAATAAAATAGACCATCTAGTAAGTAGATTAAATAGATAAACAAAATAGACCATCTAGAAAGTAGATTAAATAGATAAATAGAGCATATAATAATGGATTTGTTATAAGAAATTGGTTAACCAGTAGGTGTTGGGTTTTGGACTTTAGTAAAGCTTTTGATGCAGTCTCTCAGAGTATCCTTCTGGATAAAATGTCCAGCATACAGCTAGACAAGTCCATAATACATTGAGTGAACAATGGTCTGACAGGTCAGGTTCAGAGAGCTATAGTTAAAGAGGTTACATCAGGCTGACTGCCAGTCACCAGTGGGGCTCCCCGGGATTCAGTTTTAGGGCCAGTGCTCTTTAATGTTTTTATGAATGATCTGGATGTCAGAGTCAAATGTACATCAAGTAAGTTTGCCAATTATACTAAATTAGGAGGAGATATGAACTCCTTCAAGGGTTGAGAGATCTGGATAGACTGGAGAGGTGGGCAATCATCAACCATATGAAATTTAACAAGAGCAAGTTCCACCTGGGATGGGGTAATCCTGGTTATACCCGCAAACTGGGGGACAAGATACTGGAGAACAGCCCCACGGGAAGATGTTTGGGGATTTGGGTTGATGGCAAGTTGAATATGAGTCAACAGTGTGCCCTGGCAGCCAGAAGGGCCAACTGTGTCTTGGGGTGCATCAAGCACAGCATATAGCTAGCTGTTCGAGGGAGGCGATTGTCCCACTCTACACTGCACTGGTGCGACCCCGTCTCAAGTACGGTGTGCAGATTTGGGCTCAATATGAGGACATCGAACTATTAGAGTGTCCAGAGGAGGGTGACCAAGATGGTGAAAGGTCTCGAGGGCAAGCCTTGTGAGGAGCAGCTGAGGTCACTTGATTTGTTCAGCTTAGAAAAGAGAAGGCTGAGGGGTGACCATGTCACGGTCTACAACTTCCTCAAGAGGAGCAGCAGAGGGGAGATAGGACATGAGGAGATGGTATGAAGCTGCATCAGGGGAAGTTCAGATTGCACATTAGGAAAAGGAAAGTTCTTTACTGAGGTGGTGGTTGGTTACTGGAACAGGATCCCAAGGCAAGTGGTCACAGCACCAAGCCTGTCAGATTTCAAGGAGCACCTGGATGACACATATAGTTTAGTTTTAGGTAGTCCTGTGAGGAGCAGGGAGTTGAACTTGATGGCCCTTACGGGTCCCTTCCAACTTGATACGTTCTGTGATTCCATGATTTTAATTAGGAAGCCTGGTTCCCCCACTATGTTGATTTTTTATGTCAGTTCTGCTGATTTTCTATAATGGCTTGATTAACTTAAGTATAAGCATCTCACATTTTATAAGTAGCAATATTTAGCTATGTATTGGCTTGTAGAGACACACTTATTACTTATTGTGTGCAACAGTGCTGGGATAATTCTCAGAAAATCTCTTGCTCTTCAGATTGCTCAGCATTAATGAGTTAGCATTGAAGCTGTATTGCAGAAAATCTGAATTTGATTCTGATCCCAGAGATGAGTCATTATAGGTAATCAACTTGTTAAGTTGGTGGAGATCAGTGTTGCGTCTAGTTGGTCAGCAATTTTTAGAGGAAAACAATTAGTAACTTGATCCCGATCTCGGAGTTTTCATGGCTGGTGATGCCTTAGAATCGAATAAGAAGTGTTTCTTTCAGCAGCCTATGTGTGTATCTACTTCACAGTTCATGTTTTGTTTTTCAGCCAGCTTCTCAGTATTCAAGCCATCTTCCTACTACCTGCTTGTACAAACTCCTTTTGGGCTTCAGCTGCAGATCCAGTTGTTTCCAGTCATGCAGCTGTTTGTGACTGTGGATCAATCAATTCAAGGAAAACTTCAAGGCAAGTGTCTATTCAAATGGGAAGCAAGGCCGTGCTGTTCCACAGCTGAAGCATCATTTATGCTTTACATGAGTGATAATTCATGCTACTTATTGATTCAAGAGGAGGAAACTAAAAGCAGAAACCAAAATATTGGAAGAGAATTGACTCAAGCAAACTAGAAATGCATTTTTATTATTTCATATTAAAGTGACCTGTCACTCCAGTGCCAGTACATTAATGTTTCTTAGAATATTCCTTACTTTTGTATTAATTTAATTTTTAACTATCCACAAAACCAGGCTTTTGGTGCATTTTGTGTTTTTAATATCATCAGAAAGCATAAAAAATGCAGGTTAGAGAGGTGATCTCATGAGGCAGAGATATCTTAATGAAGACTATGCTTCTCAAGAGGTTAAAGATTTAAAATAGGGCTCCTAAATCTTCAGTACTTATAGTATGCATTAATATTGAGGTGGAATAATCAGCTGTATGAACTTCTGTTTCTAATGTTTGTGATCAGTTGTTCCTTTCCCTTTGACCTTTTAGAATAAGAATGAATAATAACTAGGTAAAATTTTTACCTTCTTCTTCAATAGGTCTTTGTGGAAACTTTAACGGAATGGAAGGTGATGACTTTAAAACAAGCAGTGGGCTGGTGGAAGCTACAGGATCTGCCTTTGCTAACACATGGAAAGCTCAGTCCACCTGTACAGACCAGGTAGAAAAGCTGGAAGACCCCTGCAGTCTCAGTATTGAAAGTGGTAAGCACACTAATAAGTCAGATGGTTGGCTTCTGCCAGAATGAGCAGCATTGCTATGTGTTACTGCAATAGGTGTGTAAGAGTTGTAGTGTGGCATTGAAGTTTTTTTAGAGGACCGTCAAATTAATAACTACTTTCTGCAAGTACATATACATACAAGCACTGATTTCCCAGCAAATTGAAACGAAAGTTTAGGGGGTGATTGTAGAGGAATCCTCAGCCGGAAGATAGGTAAGCAAGGTCATTAATTTGTATTACCTGCAAAGGCAACTTGTATTTCCTAGTATTAGTAATTATAATTAGTAACTATAATTAGTAATTATCACTATGTTTAACTTAGCTTTATGGTCTCCAAATGGAAAGGGCTGTCACGATTGCATGTAAACAAGTTGGAGCAGTAAGATATGATTTTTGATTTTATGATTGCGTGTCTACTGCTAGATAACTGAATCAGAGTACAGACATATATGCACAGTGAATGCATGTAGGTTCTCCGCTCCCCAAAGTGCACACAATTCTCTCTCATTTGTATTATTCAATTGCATTTATGTGACAACATAACTAGATATGGCATAAGGAAGATAAGTGAATGTAATGAATATAATGGTAAAATTTCATTTTTCTTCTATTTTTGCAGCAAATTATGCTGAGCATTGGTGTTCTTTGCTGAAAAACTCAGAGGGTCCTTTTGCAAGATGTCACTCAATCATTGATCCTTCAGAATACTATAAGGTATTGTAATCTTGCACTCTTTTTAGTACTGCTTCGTTTCAGATGGATGACTGTAGACATTTATCGCTGTTCAAACATTTGAGACATTACTGAGTAGCTTGCTTATAAAAGCTGGTGAGGTTTTTGCAGTGATTAACTGAGGCAGCATAGCATGCATCCAAAGTATCTCCTATGATGAGATTCTTATGGAGTGCTGCTGAAGAAAAAGGTAATTTATTCTTCTGGTTTCTTATGTTTTGTATTTAATGTACTTTTTTATTGGATTGGATATTTGAACTGGAAAGAAGATTCAAGAGGTGCAGGTGTGCACAAAAAGTTTGTCTATGGCTTACAAATTAGTTACTATTAAGTCAGAAAAAGAAAAAGTAAATATTTATTAAGTTTCCTGTATTGCTTGGAATGTAACACGAAATAATTTTCGTGCCAGAATCTCCATGACTTACCTTCCCTCTGCTCATAACTGTTGAGCAGTAAGTGAGGCTTACCTGAGCAGAAAAGAAGAAACTCCTAAATCTTTGCTCATACCTGAAACTCAGTCTGAGCTTAAATTTTCTGAAGATCTTCCATACATCTGGTTAATATCTTGCCGTTATGATTTTTGTTTTTTATGGATCTCTGTATTTCTAAGTTGCAACTGAGAAAGAATGGAATCTCATAGAATCATATAGTCATAGAATCATTTAGGTTGGAAGGGACCTTTAAAGGTCACCTAGTCAAACCACCCTGCAATGAGCAGGGACATCTTCAACTCGATCTGGTTGCTCAGAGGCCCGTCCAACCTGACCTTGAATGTTTCCAGGGATGGGGCATCTACCACCTCTCTGGGCAGCCTCTTCCAGTGTTTCACCACCCTCAGCATAAAAGATTTCTTCTTTGTGTCTAGTCTAAATCTGCCTTCTTTTAGCTTAAAACCATTGCCCCTTGTTCTATTGTAACAGGCCCTGCTAAAAAGTTTGTCTCCATCGTTCTTCTAAGCCCCCTTTAAGTATTGAAAGGACACAATAAGGTCTCCGGAGAGTCTTCTCTTCTCCAGGATAAACAACCCCAGCTCACTAAGCCTTTCCTTATAGGAGAGGTGTTCCATCCCTCTGATCATCTTCATGGCCCTCCTCTGGACCCACTCCAACACATCCATGTCTCTCCTGTACTGAGGGCTCCAGAGCTGGATGCAGTACTCCAGCTCTTGTCTCACCAGAGCAGAGAATCCTTTAGGAAAGGTGTTGTTAGGAGGCTGGCTACTTGTTAAAGGTTCAAGAGGCTTGGCTTAGGTTAGGATAAGTATCCAAACATTTTCATTGTGTATGAAATGGGGTAGAATTTTCAGTCTCTTTGTTCATCCCTTCCATTGTTTTCTAATTGTTGGAATTAAAAAAAAAAAACACCATCAGGAAAAGGACACAGTATATTTCATAGCAATGGAGTTGCAATTGCCCATTGGTTTCCCATAGTCTTACTGAACCTTTTGCTCCTTTTTCAGAAATGTAAATATGATACCTGCCTTTGTGAAGACAATGAAGAATGCTTGTGTGCTGCCCTGTCCTCTTACTCAAGAGCCTGTGCTTTCAAAGGGGTCATACTGGGAGGCTGGAGAAAAAGTGTCTGCAGTAAGTGATGGAGCTGTAATCCCCATGGAATTAATTAGCCACGAGAAATAAGCAGATTCTCTCTGAATTTGATTGTCAGTGATCTCAATGATAAGGGATTTGGATTACGTCAGAAATGTTTAATGGACTTAAAAGAGACAATGCTTACAATGTCTGCTAATTCCTTTTATATTCTTTAGCATGTCATATTCATGACATTTAAAAGTAGAAAGCACTATTTTTCATTTTCACCTTCTTTCTCCACTTTAAATAATAATGTTGCTTCTATCTTTGACTAATTGAATCCCAGACATCATGGCTTTTACATTGTCTTTGTTTATCAGTGTCTTTGTTTATCATTGTGCTTGCTTTCCCTCAACAGCACAGTATTGTTGAGACTAGGAGTTTATTGTATTGTGTTCTCCCTCTGATTATCAGTATGTGAAACAAATATGGGTATGAAAGTAGAAACTATTAGTAGCAGTTAAAAAGAAGAATTCAACTGGTAAACAGCTATCATCACTTGTGACTTATGATGTTCTTCTACTTTAACAAAATCTAGGGGAGTATTTTTACCATTACATGCTGCACAGCCACAGAAACCAAAACAGAAATGTCAAGGTTAAATTGCCCATCCTGCGTCTCATATTTATCAGTTTGTTTATTTTCCCTCCAGGTAGTGAAGTGTCTGCCTGCCCAGGAAATCAAATCTTCCTTTACAATCTTACAATGTGCCAGCAAACCTGTCGATCCCTGGCTGATGGTGAAAAGCATTGCTCGCAAGACTTTGCTCCTGTGGATGGCTGTGGCTGCCCATATAATACATACTTGGATAACCAGGATATCTGTGTGCCCATCTCCAAGTGCCCATGTTATTACAAGGGTTCATACCTGGAACCAGGGGAATACGTCACAAAAGATGGAGAACGTTGGTATGTTTTGTCATGGCTTCTTCTTTGTGGGGATAAAAGCCCTTTTAAAATTTGCTTACTAGGTGTAAGCTGCTTAGTGCTTTTTTTGTGCTTTAATGAACATTTATAATGCGTTTCACAACATCTTTATGCTGAGCAAAGCATCATCCTGTTGCAATGTAATTTATTAATAATTGAGAAGTGCAGCTTTGTTTCGAGGTGTGAGTACTCGCCTTCACGGATAAATGTTACTCTGAAGCTGCACTGTTAATAGGACTTTATTGAGCCGAGAGGTAAAAAGACGACAAAAGGCCAGCTATAATGTTACGCTGCTGTTTCTTTTTCTGTCAGAGGCAGATTGCTTGTGTTTTCCACTGGAGGAAGGTCCCCTTGATATGTGCTTACTGTAGCATAGGCTTTTGAAAGGATCTTTCATGGTTGTGGTGTTTTTGTCATGGACTCTGACAACTGTTTGCTGCATGAGTCATCAGTGCAAACTGTGAAATACTTCCTGCTCTCATCTGGCAGATGAAGCATACAAACTAACAAATTTGCAGCATATGAGTTAAACAGGCATTAAAATATACTGTGTATCCAAATGAAGGCTTTGATTTAAATTATCTGTTTCATTATTAACTGTTTCCTGAGTCATCAAAAAGTATAATATTAAGGATTATAGCTGTCATTCCTTAAAACATAACCTTTCTGTGCATTGTGCCTAAAATCTTTCTACACTTTTTCTCCAGGTGAAAATTCATAAGTTTGCATCAATAGAGTTCACCTTGAAATATCAGTAGAAATTATGCAAGACATCTCTGATAAATAGTCTCAAGTTTATATAAACAAATCCTTAGATTTAATTGAAGACACTGAGCTTCCTTTTTGTTTTAATTTCTGCTTACTTCGCTTCTTTTCTAGTGTTTGCCGAAATGCAAGGGTCCAGTGTACTTCAGTGATGATAAGAATGAAAAGTAAGTGACATTCTATGGAGTATAATAAAATAAAAACCATAATGCAACCTCCAACCCCAAACTTACACTTTCCATTTGAATTCCACACTTATTTGTTTTGCGTGGGTTTTTTTTCTCTTTATATGAGGAGTTACGTATTTTCACTTTGTTCTGTCTTCACCAAGTCTCTTTTTTTTCATAAGGATAGGTATACCCTGAGATTTCTGTCTCAGTCACTATCACCTTTCACACACATTTGTTTTGCCTTTTCTTGATTCATCTAAACCAACAATATACCTTCCAGGTGCAACAGAATGTTCTTCTAACAAAACGTACTTTGACTGCAATGCATCACCAGAGTGGACTTCACAAACACCTGTACAACTTAGCTGTCATACTCCTCAAACTGATCATGTATGTATTCAATTTTTCTCCATGTCATGTTCCCTTTATTCTGTTCTTCAAATGACCATGCAACATGAGAAAGCAGTTGTAATAACAGTTTATTTTGCTTTGGTTAACCTTCCTTTCTTTCTCCCCAATGATATTACCCTGTTGCCAGTTTCATGATGATTCCCTTATGTTTTCCCTCTCCTTTTTCTTTTTACTATCTCTTCTGTAGAGTCATACCTCCCAAGTGATATATGATTTGGGTTCTTAGAAAATCAAAAAAGAAAAGAAAAACATTAGAAACCTGGAAGAAAAACCTTATAATACTAATCAATATTAGACTGTTTGGTTATAAATGCAGTTTTTACCAGAGTGCTTGTGAAGAAGTGGAAGAAAAATGCGGTGCTTTTTCATGAAGTAACAATATCTCCTCATATTCCTTAGTTCCAGGCAGAGTGTGTCTCAGGCTGTGTGTGTCCTGAAGGTCTGTTTGATGATGGGAGAGGGGGCTGTGTTGAGGAGAAGGACTGCCCATGCAGTCATAACAACCAGTGGTATTCTCCTGGACAGAAGATAACAGTGGACTGCAACACCTGGTAATAATTTTGTGCTCTCTTCTAGATTATAATGTATGCAGTAAATTAATAGTCATGTGTAAGCTTATGTACTACAGTGACTGCCATAGCTGCAAATGTAAACCTTTATTTTCAGGCATACTTTTTGCTATCTGAGGAAATAAAGATTGTGCTGAAAATATTGGGGTAACAGAAAGCTCTGTTTTCAGTAGGCATCTCTTACTGGGAAAGTGCACTCATTTTTTAAATATAAACACTATCAGATCTAAAAAATGTAGCTGGCCAGAGTTAAAAATCATGTTATAGGCTTAAAAACAGGCTAAACTATTGAGGTTGAGACTTAAGACACTCAGCAACACGGAAATGGGTATTGTACATGTTACGATGTTGTTTCAGGTAGCTGCTTGCTTTGTTCTGTGGTTTTCCAAACAGCACACTCTTGTTAAGATCTGAAAATGCAACTCTTCTGCTCTCTTCTAGTACCTGCCAAAAAGGGCTTTGGAGCTGCACTGAAGACCTGTGCTATGGGACTTGTACGATATATGGAAGTGGCCATTATATCACCTTTGATGGAAAATTCTATGACTTTGATGGGAATTGTGAATATGTGGCTACTCAGGTAATGCTCATCAGGAGGGCTGAAATGGCATCTGAATGCCTTGAAGATCCACCTTCCTCTTTGGTTTTGTCATTCCTCATTGCCTGCCATCACTGTTCCTAACGTGTTTACACATTCTGCCAAGATAAATTCTGTATTTTCAGTGCAGGCAAGCTGTGTAAATGTGGTTTTTTTTCTGATACAGTGCTCATAAATTGTATATAACAGGACTATTTTACAGTGAGAGCTGACAGCTCATTATAAGTTGTGAAATGAATCAGATGTATGTAGAGATGTATGTGCCTGTAAAAATATATGTATGTAGGATTTCACATATGAAGCAGCAGTAACGTTTTATATGTTGTGGAAATTTAAATTAGTGTAATTATTATGAGGTTGAACTAAAAATTAAATATTCTACCTAATTTTCTTATGCTCGTGTTTTCCTTTTTCAATAGGATTTTTGTGGTGACAAAAATTCCAGTGGCTCATTCAGTATCATCACAGAGAATGTCCCTTGTGGAACTACAGGAGTCACCTGCTCAAAGGCTATTAAAATGTTTCTAGGGGTGAGTAATGATACTCAGTGCATATATATCAGTATTCAAGTATTTCAAAAAAAGTTAATGCTCCAAAGCTGCATCCCTAAAAGCAGCTATAACAAGTAAAGGTTAGAGGCCCTATCAAATTAATTTGCAAAGGTGTAGATTCTCAGGTAGTGAAACCTCTCTCAAAGGTGTTACACCACTTTCTGTCATCTTGGAAAGTCATCCCAGACATTGAGCTATTGGTTTCAGAATAAGTTGTATTGTTACGAGTGTCTAATATTTTGTCATCATAAAAGTTAGTGTTAACAATATTTCTATTTTTATCTTTCAGAAAACTGAACTGAAATTGGAGAACAAAGACTATAAAGAAATTCAGCGAGATATTGGTGATGATGTGCAGTATTGGAACAGGACAGTAGGCCTCTACCTTGTTATTGAGGCTAGCAATGGTGTGATGCTTATCTGGGATAAGAAGACTACTGTTTTCATCAAGCTGACCCCTGATTACAAAGTTAGGATCTGTCTATCTTTTTCTGAAGTAGTAGTATGAATAGATTAATGAGATAAGGAAACATAAATGTTCTTTTAGTCTGATTTCGTGTTTAATTCCTTTATCATCTGCACATTGATGATTAGCTTGCATTATTACTGTCAGAGCTTGCAGAAGTGCTACTGGAGTTCCTTACAGTCCATCAAAATGCGTAGCAGAGGATGCATTGCATATGATTGCTATAAAACTAGACATCTAAGGTATTCTGACTTTGTCAATCTTAAGAGCTGAGCATCCAAAGTAATTCAGGGGATGCTGCATGGAATCTCAGCCCTGAGTTAAAATCAAACTCCCTACGTAATGTGTGGAGATGGTTCTGATTTCTGAAAATCAGCATACTGAATTATAGAGTACTGAATTCATTGGGCTGAATGAGGAGGTGCGGAGTTGTATAAACAGGGACATAGTGTTGCTTGAGGGAACTGATGTACCTTAAATAGCACGACCAAAAATTCACTACTGTGGATAAGTTGCTAAATTCTTTCTTTTGAGAAAAATGAGCCCCTGTCATATTTTTCTCCATGGATGAAGAAGTGGTGCTCATTATATTAGAAGCTTTTAATAAAAACAGTTTTAAGCAGAACAAAATTCCCTCAGGCTTATATTAATAGCTGAGTTAGGATAAATCGAGAAGAATGGGAAATAAATTCATTCTTCTCAGCTGAAAGAGGCTTAGCTACACTTTAGTGTTAGAAGTTGGATGAAGGGCCACCACAGAAACATGGAAATACACTGGATGTAATTGGTTTCAAGGAGGGAAGACAAGGCAGCTAAGTACACAGACAAATAAAGGTTTAATTTCTGTACAAATTGTTTTGAAGTAAAGATGAAAATACATCATTTACACAGAGAGTCTGTTGTCCTTTTTAATGTCAATGTTTTACTCTTAGTTTACTGGAGTCTGTTTCTCACTTCCATGGTATATTTAAAAGCTGTGGATATGTTAATTGTCTTTTCCAGGGCAAAGTGTGTGGTCTGTGTGGCAACTTTGATGGCAAGTCTAACAATGACTTTACAACAAGGAGTGGGCTGCAGGAGACTAATGCTCTGAAGTTTGGCAATTCCTGGAAACAGTCTTCCATGTGCCCAGATGTCACAGAAGAGATTAAACCCTGTGATGTGAAACCACATCGGAAGTCCTGGGCAGAGAAAGAATGCACTATCATCCGGAGTGAAGTCTTTAAAATTTGTCACTCCAAGGTTTGTAGAGGGCAACAAGTGATGGGAGAGCACAGTGCATTTCTGTTACTACAGAAGCGGAGAGATCATCAGAAATGAAGAGATGGTTAAATAGACTAATGTTCAATTAAGTTTTCAGTACAGCTACAGGTGTCAGCACATTTCAGTTAGCGTTAGTCAAAGTAGTTTGAGTATCTGTGGCAATGGGACTGTGTCCGTAGCAGTGCCAGCCCCAGCTGTACAAACCAGTATTCATCACCACAGTTTCACTGCTACTGCTGTGTAAGCTAGGTTCAAAACTCTAGCTTGAATAGGTCTGTGTGCACCACGTCTTGTTGAGATGTCAATGCTGCAAGTTTGAAAGGCTTTGCAATTGTCAGACTTGTCTTCTGACAGAAATGCATACTATACTTGAAAGGTGGCTGTTGAAGATACCACTGCTCCTTGTAATATTCAGCCCACAGAAGGGATGTTCTTGGAAACCACTGACATTGCACAGTTTAAACAGGCTTAGCTGCTAGTACTGTGCCTCCAGATTGTCATAGCATACACTATGTCAGCCCCACAGCTTCCAGAGCACAGTGCACAGAGTGCACTTCTCTCTATTTCATGTCTCTTTTCTGAAGTATGATAACATTAACAACAGTTTGTTCTTAACTGACAGTGGAAAAGTCACAAAGAACTATTGATTTGGTTAACTTAATACGTGTTTCTGTGCTGATTCCTTCATTGGCTAAAATCCAGTCTAAGTTTCTCCTCTTGCGGTCCCAAGCAAAAAGGTGGAAATGTTTTGTCAATGTGTCATTGGATAAATTCCAAAAACTGGCAGGCACAAAATTCTCTGCTTCATATTTGCTGTGAAGTCCAGCCTTTCTGATATTGATCACCACTTGGTTGGCAAAGCTTGATGGAAGATAAGAGTTCGTTTGGCAATTCTTGGAAAGAGTCTCATTCCTGCCCAGCTCAATTCCCATATTTCAAGAGGTATCTCAGGCTTAATATTTTGAAAACTAATTTGGAGATGAACGGGGGGATCTTTTCTTTCCCCAACAGGTGGACCCAATGCCTTTCTATGAAGCTTGTGTTCATGACGCTTGCTCTTGTGACAGTGGTGGAGACTGTGAGTGCTTCTGTTCTGCAGTTGCTGCATATGCTCAAGAATGTACCAAGGCTCAGGCCTGTGTTTTCTGGAGAACTCCTGATATATGCCGTGAGTAACAGTTAAACACAACTCTATCTTTCTGGCCACTGTCAGAAAGCCTATCGAAATAAATCATTAATACTATCACTGCAAGGTCATGCTAGCTATGCAATGAAATTTATTTTTGCAGCGTATCAGAGAACAAACAGAACTAGTAAACTTACATATTTCAATTATCTTTTATTCAGCCTAGCTTCTCTTTTTTCCTTTCCTTTTCCTTTTCCTTTTCCTTTTCCTTTTCCTTTTCCTTTTCCTTTTCCTTTTCCTTTTCCTTTTCCTTTTCCTTTTCCTTTTCCTTTTCCTTTTCCTTTTCCTTTTCCTTTTCCTTTTCCTTTTCCTTTTCCTTTTCCTTTTCCTTTTCCTTTTCCTTTTCCTTTTCCTTTTCCTTTTCCTTTTCCTTTTCCTTTTCCTTTTCCTTTTCCTTTTCCTTTTCCTTTTCCTTTTCCTTTTCCTTTTCCTTTTCCTTTTCCTTTTCCTTTTCCTTTTCCTTTTCCTTTTCCTTTTCCTTTTCCTTTTCCTTTTCCTTTTCCTTTTCCTTTTCCTTTTCCTTTTCCTTTTCCTTTTCCTTTTCCTTTTCCTTTTCCTTTTCCTTTTCCTTTTCCTTTTCCTTTTCCTTTTCCTTTTCCTTTTCCTTTTCCTTTTCCTTTTCCTTTTCCTTTTCCTTTTCCTTTTCCTTTTCCTTTTCCTTTTCCTTTTCTTTTTCTTTTTCTTTTTCTTTTTCTTTTTCTTTTTCTTTTTCTTTTTCTTTTTCTTTTTCTTTTTCTTTTTCTTTTTCTTTTTCTTTTTCTTTTCCTTTTCCTTTTTCTTTTCCTTTTCCTTTTTCTTTTCCTTTTTCTTTTTCTTTTCCTTTTTCTTTTTCTTTTCCTTTTTCTTTTTCTTTTTCTTTTTCTTTTTCTTTTTCTTTTTCTTTTTCTTTACTGAATTCTGGTTTAAGTTGTATCATGTCTCATATGCTTGGTCTTGGCCTGCTGGAAGTGACTCTCAGCCCATGTGATACAGCAAGGTAGAACTATTTTGAATATACTGCAAGAGTTTTTAAGAGTTTCCTAGCAGCTAGGTAGGAAAATACTCTCAGAAATTTACCCCTAATTTTAAACTAAAATCAACACTAATTCTTTATTTTATTTTATTTTATTTTATTTTTTTGTTATGTGAATCAAGCATTTGCAACCTGCAGCTTGAGTGTTTAGTATCTTGGGCCCCGGAGTTTTGACCCCAAATTTTCATGTACCCTATGTATAGCATAGCATAGCATAGCACAGCATAGCATAGTAGAATATAGTATAGTAGAATATAGTAGCATATATTATAGTAGAAGAAAGTCCAGGTCCTATACCTCAAGAGAAATTTTGCTGTCTTAATGTGTAGATTCATTTAGCTTGTACCTTTAAAGACCTGACCAGAACTGCATTCTGGCAACCATGTTTTTAATCAGCTTCTCTTTTTTTCTCATCAGCAATATTTTGTGACTACTACAACCCTCGTAATGAGTGTGACTGGCACTATGAGCCTTGTGGCAGTAATGTCACAACCTGCAGGATGATTAATAATGTCAGCACCAACTTTTCAGTACCATACCTGGAAGGTAATAAATTCATTGCCATTTTTGTATTTTATTTCATATAACTTTGTCCAGGTACCATTTAACAAACATGGAATTGTCAGTCAGCTTGACAAGATGTTCCTAAATCTATTATGTTGAATTTGTCTCCAGTCTTACATCATTGTTTCTGATAATGTAATTTATTCTTTATTAACATCAGTGGGTGATAGTTACATTGCTGTCAGCCATAAAACTAGGTCTCTGCTTGGTTAATATCTTGAAACATGCAAGATGATTACACCATTGTAATTTTGCATCCCATCCTAAGGGCACTTCAAGAAAACTTTTTACATGATAAAGAAGCAAGGTACTGACAGTTGTGGTTTTTTAACCTTATCATTCTTTATGCATCAGATCCATCTTGAGTTTATTAAATTAATGTACAGCTTTGTCCTATCTTTACAATGGAAAATATCTTTGATATCAGACACACTTATGCTGCTATATATTGGATTCTTAATGGAGACCACAAAATGTTGTCAGAGGCCTACTGGGAGCTACCTCCATTTTTCTTGTATTTCATTTGTAGTTTTTGTTTAGGCCTTAAGACCAAGATGTAAAACATATTATTCTGCATTCCATGCCACTTAGAGGATGCACAAGCCATTTAAATTCCATTGAACCCCTCAAAGAAATGTAGAAATATGTTATTAGTAGTTGAAAGTCCTCATGCTTGATAACTGAAAAGGAATTTCACGCTATAGGGACTGCAATGATCTAAGAATGTGAATGACTTTACAAATATCTTCTGTTTTACCACATGATAAAGTTGGAGGAAACAGCCCCATTTTTGCTACACAGTCTTTTTGGTCCGGACTGGAAGCAGTTATCTCCAGTTTAGGGATTGGAATGAACTACCCAGAGTTTGATTGCTATTTTAATCCTTGAACTGCTGATAACAAAACAAAAAAACCCAACTCCCCTAAAATAATTAAAAAACCCCAAACAAATTAACTCTGTATTTTTAAATAGATTGCCTTAGATTATTAGAAAGATTTGGAAAGTGTCAGAAGGCAGAATATTATATATCTAATTATCTTACTAAATTATTTTTTTTTATATCTTAAGTGGAAATATTGAGAACGTTTACTTTTGTTAGGACACCTTTAGTATAGTTTGGCAGTGTGAAGTGACTTTTCAGTACCAGTTAATTACATGGTCATTCAGTTTATAGGCTATTTAAAACTCCCAGTACAGTATAAAGAGGACTTTATGTAATTGGATTTTATGAGAGTTTATTTGGAAATATGACACAGTAATTTTTTAAAAGTGTATTTACATGAAAAATGCAATGAGAATCGACAGACAATCCCTTGAAGGTGGCATTTGGGTCACTGGCCGAGGGTACGAAAAAATGCAGATAAATTATCTGTTTAGGGTAGAGATACCTGGTCTATTAAAGGCACATAGACAAGGTCTAGTCTTCCAATGAATGCAATGAAAATGCTGTTTGTTAATTAATCCACTTCCATATTCTTCAAAAAAGTGTTATTGATATAGTGATCACCTTTCAAAATCTGTATAAAAACCGGGATGTTTCTTTCTCTTAAAATTGCCAGCTGCCCATGCAAATTAATATAAATTAGGGGATTTGCCAAGATCTTAAACTAGGAAAAAGCAACTTCCCTAGTTTTCATGAGTAAACTCTTATTTAGTACTCCTCACCCCAGTATTATCAATGGCACTTGTTTGATTTAAGTCTTTTGGAAAGACTAATTGTGCAAGGATTAATTTGAATTGGAAATTTTCTGTTTCTTTCACTTATGCTTGATTCAGTGAGAATAATTCAGAAGGCATCCTATCATTGAGTTAACTCTTTATACTTCTTCATCCTTTGTACTGTTCTACTTGTCATCAACAGGTTGCTACCCCAGATGTCCTGAGGACAAACCTGTTTATAATGAAGAGACGAAGGAATGTGTGCATGGAGATGAATGTGGGTGTTACATCGATGGAATTTATTTCCCCCCTGGGAATGAAATACCCACGGAAGAGAACTGTACAACATGGTATATAAAAAATGCAAAAACATTTGCAGTAATTGAAAAAAGAATTCGTGTATGCTGAGCCCCTCATTTACTTTGCTAGGCCTCAAGCAAGTAGAGATGCAACTTTAACTGAAGAGCTAGTATATTCTAGGATTTATCTATACAAATCAGAGGAACAATGTCGTTTATTCTGGTTGAGACTTAAACTCAAAAAATGCTGCACTTACAATACATATAGATTCTAAACTTTTAATTCATAGTTTTCCAAACCCATAATAATCCAGATTTCAGGTTGATAGTGCCGTCACAATAAGTGTATTAGCAAATTCATTAAATCATCATATCTCTTCGAAGATATAATGATATAATGGCATGAAACCTGGATGTGTCTCTAGAACAACTTTTTGATTCTTATGGTTCTTTGGGAAGAGAGGGGCTACTCTGCCTTGCATTCTCATTTAAAACTGGGATTTCAAAATCACTGTAATCTGAAATGATCTGTACTAGCCCTGAAAGAGATAGTTGATTCCTAATTGCTCATTCCTAGAACCTTACTAATGATAGCAATGACATCTATGACTCCACATGGTAACCAGAGACAAAACCCCCTGATCTAGATGGAAGTTCACCGCTCTGAAAAACAACTGTTGTTATCGCACTATTGCAACTTGCAACACAAAGCGGTTCATTATAAATTTCAAGATGTTGTACTTAAAGAATTAAAGTGATGACTTAGTTTGAATGAAATAATGACAGGCAATATTGGAAAATATTACATCCAGAAAAATATCCAGTAGTTTAAATTAAGACCAAGTGACAAATGTCTATGTTTCTGTGCTCTTGGCACTGCTAACAGGTGCCATAAAATATCTGCAATATTTTAATTTTTGAAAATTTTGCTTTTAGTGTCTGTGGCCCCTCAGGATCCATAGAGTGTAAACCAATCCCAGGTAAATAACGTTTGGGTTTTCCTACAAATAAAACGAAAAAAATGCATATGTCTGTCTCTACAAAAGACTTAGTACTGATTTGTAATAATTCTTTCCAGTGCAAGTGAAAGTTGCAGCCAAAGAAAATTGGGCAGAAATTTTGTTGAACCTTGTTGTTAGTACTTCTTGTTCAACCTTTTTCTCATGTCCCATTATTCTTTCTCCCCGCACCCCATATCCAAACTAATGGATTTCACTACAGGAATTTGCACTCCCAGAACATTTAGTATTATAGAAAACTGTCAGAATGTAAATTGCAGTTGTTATTTCTTTCAGAACATCTTAAAACCTGGTTTGTAAGTCTGTTTTTCCGAGTGTTGTATGCATAGCTTTATTAAACATGTTTCAATGATCCTCTAAATGTAAAGATAAATTAGTGCAATGTATTAGATATAAACTTCAGGTATAGCTCTGAAAGGAGCATGCATGACTCATGTCAATGCTTACTTGCCCGTAAGTATATTGCCTTTGTCTCTTACCTCGTAGTAGAAAAAATGCACATTAAAGCATTTTCTTGCAGGGTGTCCTTGTATCATCAATGGAACAAGATATGAAGTGAATCAAACTGTGGCACAAATACAGGATGGCAACATATGTATTATATACATTTGTGCAGAAAATGGTTCTATAGTTGTTGGAGATATTTATCCTTGTCCAACATCTACTTCACCTACAACCATTTCAACCTCCTTTCCTACCAACACTCTTACCACCACAGGTAAATCTTCAACAGAGATGTGCATCTAAAAATTATTTTCTTTAAGGAAAATACTTTAAAGATAGAATGTACAAGTATATGGGCTTATAGATGACACAAACAGAGCGATACTTATAAATAGTTTTATCACACTACACTAAGAAAGATTTTTAAGACTTCAATTTGATTTACTTCCCATGGAAGAAATTGTAACTATAAATGTGCAGGGTGCCTTCCTAATTCTGAAAAACATGTTAGCATCTCAAATGCTGCTGGCACAGTAGGAATTGTCTCAGTAGTCTCATAAAAAAAATATAATTACAATATTTAAAACTACTTCTATATTTTTTTCTAAAGCTTGCAGATGATGGAGTAATCTTTTCTTTTTTCTATTTCAGTCACCACTACAAGCCCTCCAGTAACTACAAGTAAGTTTTAAATAGAAAACTATGTTGTTAAAAAATGCCAAAGGAGCATTTAAAGGAAGGATAAATTAAAGATGGCCACTACAGAAAAATATATTTCAAACAAAAATGAAAAATTAATAACTTCTATAAATTGCAATAATGTGATAAGTATAGAGAGAAGAAAGACCTTTAAAGGCTTCAGATTGGTGTTTTTATTTTGATGCAAAACTTCCTGTTGAAAAACCTGATAATATAGAACTAATTTTGGAACTCTTTTCTCTTGGAAAAATGACAAGCTGCAATGCATTGCTCTAGTCTTTATGGAATAGAATAGGAAATTAATCTTCTCAGAATGTTCTCTGTAAGCTCAGATGCTGAATCTCTGTCTTTTCTTGCAGCTCCATGCATGGGACTTGTCTGTGATTGGACTGAGTGGTTTGATGTTAGTAATCCTGAAGAAGATGGCGGTGACTATGAAACCTATGATGCAATAAGAAAGGAACATGGAGACAAAATATGTGAAGCTCCTGAAAAAATTGCATGCAGAGCTAAAGAGAATCCTCACATGAGCTTAGAGGAACTTGGCCAGAAAGTAGAGTGTAATGTTACATATGGACTAATCTGTAAAAACGAGGAGCAAGATCCAACTTTGTGGGAACTTTGCTATAATTATGAAATCAGGGTAAACTGTTGTGAGTGGCGTGAAATTCCTTGTGAAACTACAGGTACACCAAGTCTAACACCTACAGCAACTTCAACCACCACCAGCACAACAGTACCCACCACGATGACAACCAGGCACCCAACATCAATTACCACCATACCCATACCCACCCCAACCATCACAAGACAACCCACATCATCAGTCCCCACCCCAGTAACTTCAACCTCTCCAGGTATTTAGCAGACCAATACTCTCTGCTCTTGCTTTGCTATAGGAGAAATAGGAGACTACTCTTGCTTTGCCATAGGGGTCAGCTACTAAAGGCATGTCATCTCCGTAGCAGATATTGAGCTGGCAAGAAGTCTTACTTACGTGGGTTGGGACCTCTATCCTTCTGCTGGAAATAAGATTCCCAGGAGGACCCGTGCTGCAAGATTAGAGTAGGCCTTGAATTAGAGTACCATCAATTTAGGCATTGTCTGGGCAGGGCTGTGCAGAATTTCTTCTTTTTCTCCACCTGCTATCCCTCTGTCAGTGCTAATGCTTGCCCGTGGTTATAGATCTAGGAAGGAATGATTCCCATGGCAGACTTTCAGGAACAATTTCACTCTGCAGGTTGCCACTTGCTGTGAACTGTGGTGCTGAGATCCACTAGTACTCTGTGAGCCTCTTCATCAGGCTGACATTGCACCACAGGGAAATTACATGACTGTCAGGCACAAATGAATTCCTGTGCATACTTCCTTCCCATACCTTCCCTATAAGTTCTCCATCCATGAGACAGTAAGGTGTTCTAAGTAATAAGGCAGAGATAGAAAGCCTCACAGAGCTTTACCCCTCGTCATGTCTTACCCATTGGCGGATATTTTTGATTTAGTGAGAAGTGAGCTGCAGCAACATCACTAGTCTCTTTGCTAGGAATGTATTGTCATGACCCTGTCTGTGCACTGATTTGGAACTACTCTGCTTTCTGGGGCCTGAAAGGAAGGCCTATTCAGATAGGCCTCTAGTGTGTTAAGAGTGGGATGACAGTGATGGGTTTGTGGCAGCAGCCTAACTTGTAACTTCTGTTCAGTATATATTGCGTTCCACTCATGCATCTTGAACCTTTGCCTGTTTTCTCTGTCCCTGCTTTTTCTAACAGGCACACCTACGTCTACGGGCATAGCATCCTCTCCAACAATATCGACAACCGCTCCCACGACAACGATATCACAGCCTCCCAGCAGCAACACCAGCACCACGATGCCCACCAGCAGCACCACCAGCAGCAGCCCGGGGACAACGACAACTGGTCCTGGCACAACAACACCCACTACGACTACTACAAGCACATCCACACCCACGCCAACATACACCACCACCCTATCAACTCCATCAACTCCATCTGTAACACCTACAGGTACTTCTCTGATCCATGCTCTCGTGGGTTGCCTTGCCGTGTGAGAAATGACGGTCTGTGAGCATCTCAGCTTGTGCCTTCTGCATGGCATCAGGGGTGGGAGTAATTGTTGTGTGTTCCCTGAAATGGCTGGTGCCCACAGGTAGCCCTTGGTCTGAGTGTTTCAGAAGTGAGGAGGGTACAGGGGTCCTGTGTAGAAGGTCTTGTGTTCCCTGACTCAGGAGGGTTCTGAGGAGGTTTTTCATCCTTGTGCCTCTGCCTGGCTTAGGCAGGTGCAGAACTGATGAGCAACCTTGCTTTTGCTGCTGTTGTACCTCGTCCTTCAGCTGGAGAGAATGTACGCAGTAGGACCCATGATGTGAGATGGGAGTGGGGCTTGGGTGTGTGGCACTGTCATTTCAGTCATTGTTTGTGCACAGATGTGCAGGTTCTTCGCTTTCTCCTCTTGCGTAGCCTCTGTGGCATTGCTGCCACTCACCTGCAGTTCTGGGTGTAGAAAGGCTTTCCCTGGCAGGGTCTGTGGAAGGGTTTGAGACCGCAGGTTGCCCCTTGCTACAGACCAAAGCTCTGGGCAGTTGGGTTCTCCCAGCATTCCCATGAGTGTTGTTCTCCAGCTTCCCACACAGTGCTGGGAAGGAAGTAGATGTTTTGGCTGCAGTGTGTATCCTGTGCCTGCTTCCTCTGTGGTCACAAGCCTTCCAGGTGTTTGGTTACTCCCTGAGAGAGTGAGGCGGTGTGCGGGGCACAAGAAGGTGCGAGCATGGTGGGAGTCCCTGCTTGGTCCTGCTCCACCTCATGTGTTGGCCTTATGTGAGTGGTTTTTGCACACGACAAGACCAATACAGCAATGTGCCCTAGCTGTGAGGTGGGGACACACATGGCTCGGCAGTGCCTGTGTCCAGATTTGGCCCTAGCGTGCTCTTTGTAGGGTCAAGAAGGGGAGGCCTGCCAGCACGAGTGAGCTTTGCTGTGGCCAGGGTTGGCTGACTAGTGTAGCACTTCCTGAGGGGCACCCTTGAGATTGGTGGATGCCCAGGGGACCACCCTTGATTGTG